TGCACCCCACCCGCCGGACGTCCGCGCGGACCAACGCGCGCTCGTTCTGCGCAGCGGGGCAGCAGCAGCAGCAGAAGCAGGAGGAGGAGGAGGAGCAGGAAGCAGGAGGAGAAGGAGAAGGAGAAGCGGAGGTGGCTGGTGGCTTTGGGCTCGTGGTGGTGGATCCCCCGTGGGAGAACCGCAGCCTCTCCCGCTCCCACAAGTACGCCACACGCCCGCACTCAAGTGCACGACACACACAGCGACACTCAACTGCACGACCCGCCGGGGAGCGTTGACTCTGACCCCCGTCTGTGGGTTCGTGCGCGGGTGGCGGCGGTGGTGGCGGCGGCGGCAGCTACGGTACGTTGGCGCCGCACGAGATCGCCAAACTGCCCGTCCGGTCCCTCCTCTCCTCCGCCGGTGCTCCTTCCTCCACCCACTCCTTTCCGTAATTAGTAACCACCCCCCCTGGTATGGAGATATATAGAAATAGAACATATACATATATTTCTCTGGTATTTAATATCAGTAAACGGCGGTCGGATGTGGGTGGCGCGCAGGGGCCTACGTGGTGGTGTGGGTGACGAACAACCCGGCCATCCACAACTTTGTGAAGCGCAACCTCTTCCCGCGATGGCGCGTACAATACGTCGCCACCCACTACTGGCTCAAGGTACCATGCCAGGCCAGGCCAGGCCATACATCGATGACGTCCATCATCATGAAGGGCACACGTGGGCGCTTGATTTACCCTTCTTGGGGGGGGGGGTTGCACACAGCTCACGAGCAGCGGGGAGCCGGTCATGCCGCTCAACTCGGCCCACCGCAAGCCCTACGGTACCTACCCGGCCCGGCCCGGCCCTACCCTCGCGCGCCCTCTGATCGGCCTCCACCTCCTCTTCCGGTGGCCTCTGCCCAGAGCCCTTCATAGTCGGCTATCACCACCACCATGCCCACCACCATGCCCACCATCGCCATAACCACCACGAGGGAGGCCTACCCGGAGGCACCCCACCACCACCACCAGGTACCGGAGGGGGAAAGCTACTGCTGCTGCTGCTGCTGCTGCTTGTCGTGATGATGACGATGACGTTGTTGGTTGTGGTGTTGGTGGTTGGGTGGGTGGTCGGGTGTGTGTGTGCAGAGGAGCTGGCGGGGCTGCGCAAGGAGATGGTGGTGTGCAGTGTGGCCAACCGCTACGCGCGCAAGCCTTCCCTGGATGGTGCGGCGCTGCTTCCCCTTACTCTGCTCCACCAGCCGTGGCGGCTGCTGGCTGCTGGCTGCTGGCTCGTGGGTGTTGATCCGGGAGCTGCTTACCCCACCCATCCATCGCGTGATGGTTATTGGGGGGGGGGTGGCAGACGTGCTCGGGTTGGGCCTGCACACGGGCGTACGGCGGCTGGAGCTCTTTGCACGCAATTTGAGGCCTGGCTGGACCTCCTGGGGTACCCCACTTTTACTTTCTGGTGACCACTCACTCACTCCTGCGGCGTGGCTTGTTGTGCACAACAAACAGGCAACCAGGTGCTGTTGTTTCAGGAGCGCAGGCACTTCAAACCAATGGCGAACAACACGGGCAACGTAAAGGCCGAAGGAGGAGATGTAGG